AGGCGCAACACACACACACACACACTTCGGAATATCAAGGCAGCATCGCCGGGGGCCCACCTCTGCAGCTTCGTCCAAGCACGGGGCTTCACGAGATGTCTCGGCAAGTTCTCGAAGGTACTTGCCTGGTCTGTGTGATTTGGCTTCGTGCTCTACCTCTCTGCCCTGCATCGAGCCAAGCGACAGCTGGATTTTGAAAGAATGTGGAGGAAGTCCATGAGATCAACCGTGTCCAAAGCCGCTCCAGACTCCAGGCCTCTCAAAGCCCATCAAAAAGGCCCCAAGCTGCACCGCTGCAGCATCGGCCGGTTGATTTCAGAACTTGCCAGCCGAGGGTCTGCTGAGTGTATGTTCGACAGGCCCACAAGCACCGCCTCTCCGTGGCGACGGCTTTGAGTCGGGCGCAAGAAGCCCAGGGGGAGGTGCAGTCAAGTTGCTGATGGAGGCCACCTCCCCTTCCAAGGCAAAGCTGTCGGAAGGCTCTTGCGCCTGAATCGCCATGTCAGGCTGACCATGAAGCTGCATGAAGATGCTGACAGCACCAGGCCTGTGCCCAGTTCTGTAGCGGCGAGCCGCTCTGCAATGCTCCCAGGCAGCTTCGACACAAGGCCTCCGCTCTGGCAGCCGCCGCCTCCGCAAGCTCGAATACGGCCGCAAGGTTTCACGAAGCTAAGTCGGAGACGTGGAATACGTCAGCGCCTGCGGCTCGGACTCATCCCGCAATTCGTCGCCTGGGACCGGAGGGCTCCACCAGACAACATGCCTTCGGAAAGGTTTTAAGCATCTGAGAACCTGACTCACCTCCGATCCGCGAGCGGTGCGAAGCATCCGTGCGAACCGAGCCTCAGGCAGAGCCGACTCTTCTAGGAGACATACACGGCCTTGGCAGATGCGGTTGCAAGCCGAAGTGAAATGCAAATCCCAAATGAGCACCTCGTTCAAGAGCTGGGTGAGGAGGCGATGGATTCCGGGCGCGTCAGAGCCAGAGGGAAGCTCCAGGACTTTGATGCGGCGGGTGATCGCCTCTGCAAACCATCACGAACCTTCCCTCAATACAACAAGGCACCCAGCGTCCTCAAGTCCCGATTTCCCCCTCCCCGCCTTAGCTTCGGCTGGAAAGTGCTCGTTGCTGTGCCGAAGGATCAAGTCCACAAGCCGACAGTAGACTTCCGCTACGGCCTCGTCATCAAGGAACGAGAGACACACAGTGCCATCACAGCTCCGTCTCAACTTGCCAGCTTTCTGGTAGTTTCCGAGAATAGGGGGTACCTCATTTGGGGGTCCTTATAATATGGATCCTACTATTTAGGGTACTCTAATAGGGTCCCCTATTTTCGGAAACCCCCTTCTGGTGTCAGCGAAGGAGCTGCATCTGCACACAAGGCCGCATCCTGGGGCGAGGCCGAGCCTCGACTGGGGCCAAACAGTTGGAGGCTGCGCTCAGAATTCAAAAGAACGAAGACTTCAGAAGAAGAAGAAGAAAATCGTTCTGAGGCCTAGCGAGTATTTCAGTACGAACTTTCTCTTCGTAAGCCTGTTTGCTTCATTTTGAGAGCTCATCAGTTAAACACCAAGTACACATCTCGACGTCATGCTTCCCACCGTCCATCCTCCAAGAGCAGAGAGCCCACGCCAAGTGGCCATCCACGAGGGAGTCCCAAAGCGACCCGGCGTTCACCCCGAAGGCTTGGGCGGCAGCTTCCACACCTCCTCTGGCTCAGCGCCGGGGTGTGACTTCGGCTTTTCTTGTTGGGTTTTTTTAGCATTCAGGTTTTGGGGTTCAGCGTCTAGGGTTGAGGGTTTTTTTGAACATCTTTGCCATCAAGCCCGGTCAGAACCCACATCCGTGGCCAGCATGCCTGTCACTCCACGAATCAACCAGCCAGGACATAACTCCATCCTGATCGATGACCTTGCTGTTTGCCTCGCCTTGATGATTCACCACGCTCTAAGTCCGCATCCAAGCCCGTCTAGGGTTTAGGGTTAGAGTTTAGGCTTTGGGCTTTCGGCGGTCACTCTCGAAAGGTGAGGTTCTTGGTGTGTAGTCGGTTGGAGGTGAAACCTGTGTTCTTTTTGGGCGAGAATGCGTCTTTCACTCCTGAAAGATCATCCAACCCAAAACAGGGTTTAGGTGTCATCGGGCTTACCGGGTTTGGCGGGTGTGTCGGGCATTTTCAGCGAGTCCACAAGGCTAAAAGAGCTCGTGGGGTTTATATCATCAGCTTGACACCCCGAACTGAAGAGATGAAAGATGGCTGGAGTCATAAAGATAACTAACATCACGCAAGTACATTCTCCGAAGTGATTTCCATGGTATGTTCCTCTTGTTTGGAAAGGTAACAACTTTGTCGCTCCTGATCGCTTAGATCGGTTCCTGACCCCAAAAGCCGAACCCTACCCCAAACCCCAAAGTTCCACAGCATCCTACGGCATCCTGCAGCAACGAGCCTTCCGGCTCGCAGCGCAGGGATCCCGGGGACCCGTTGAAGCGCAGCTCTGCAAGGAGGATCAAGCCTCGGCTGGCTCCGTGTGTTCGAAGCGGAAGGCTGAACTTTTGGAAGCAGGTTGAATTGAAGCACTCGCGCCAAACGTCGACACATCAAGTTTCAGAGGCCGGCGACCATCCTCTGAATCTAGGCTTCAGGGCTCGCTGCTTCGGTAAAGCGGCCACACAGGATTCGGACTACCGCGGCATCATCGATCCTCGGTGAGCATGAACAGTGGATCAGCTGCTTGCACGTTTCTGTGGCTTGAAGGTGATGTGACGATGCTGACAACCACTGTAGCCATGAAGATGACGGTGGGGATGAGGCTGCTGATGATGACGAGGTGATGATGTTGATCAGCATGACGACGATGATGATGATGATGATGATGATGATGGTGGTGGTGGTGGTGGTGATGGTGAAGATGGTGATGGTGATGATGGTGATGATGGTGATGATGGTGATGAAGGTGATAATGGTGATGCTGGTGATGATGGTGATGATGATGATGATGATGTTGCTGATGATGCTGATGATGCTGGTGATGCTGATGATGCCGATGATGCTGATGATGCTGGTGATGCTGATGATGATGATGATGCTGATGATGCTGATGATGATGATGATGGTGGTGATAGCAGACCATAGCGGCCTCATCCGATGGATGACCTGACGCATTTCCAAGCAAGGCTCTCGAAAGAAGCCAGCGCCTCGATCCAGCTTTTCTGTGCAGAGCCTTCCTCGTCATACTCTTCAATCTCGATCTGCGAAAGGGCATCCGAAATGCTCAAGAAAACGATCTCGAAAGGCAGATTCGAAGAACTACATCACCAATCCCTGTCCATCTCCTGGTGGCCTTTCCTGTCCCATACCATACCCTCCNNCCCCCCCCCCCCCCCCCCCCCCGAACGGCCCCCCCCCTCGGCAAATGCAGCAAACATCATTGTTACGAGTGTTACAAGCGCCATGCCTGTGCCCACTGTAGTCATAACTCGGCTAACGCTGGGCCCGAGCAACCCATCAGTCCGCTCATAAAGAGGCCGGCAGCACGAGTTATAAAGGCATGAACGACCACTACTCCCAGAGCTAGCTCTACGAAAAGCAACATGGCTGCCAGCATTTCTGATAATTCTGGTTGGCATCACTGTTGCTGTGTCCGGAACTATTTGTATTGCAGTGGCAGAACGACTCGAAATCGGCTGCTCGAAACAAGGGATGTGAAGAAACCGAAGAGAGCTGAGATCTCAGCGCCCGGGATGCCAACTGCACTACACCAAGGATATCAGATCCAAAAAACATGCAGCTGCCTCTTCCCCGAGTAGTCGGAACTCCACCGCGGTGCCCAACCACGCCTTCGCCCTTTCATCCTGGCATCGGATTCACAGGCTTCACCCGGTGCTTCACACATGTTTGGAAACAAATCCCATTTTGCTATGGTTTAGGATGGTTTAGGGTTTAGGGTTTAGGGCTTGGATGTAAAACACAGAGCCTTGGCTGCAAGATACAGAGCATCGAAGGTCTTGAAGCCGGCGTCCATGCTGCGTGCAAGGCGACCTGTCTCCAACATCTTCACCTCGCTTGGTGCATGGAAAACTGAGGAACACCCGCATGCATAAAGAGGAATTTTACTATCATGGTATATTACAGTACATTATGGTATATTGTAGTATATTAAAGCATATCAAGGCATGGTGACATAGGTGCTTTATGTGATTCATCGCCGTGTCACGCTGGCAAGGGTGCGGCATGTGAAGCCATCTGCAGCCAACCCAAGCTCGACCTGCACGGGTGCATCTGCGAAAGAGAACAAGATAATCGTCAAAAGTAGGAGCAATCATCAAGAGTACTAAACACTACTAGGAGTACGTATTCAATGCAAACAAGCAACGACAGTCCAGTGAGTCTAGTGACAAGAAGAGCCGTGAATGTGGACTTTCTGGGAGCCCAGAGAGAGGATCTGCATTGCAAGTCAGTGTGGAAAGACTGCCTCCAAGATAGCTCGAGTGGATTGCCAAATCTGCCGACCACAACGGCACTGGGCCGAGATGAATGGAGCCAGAATAGCCAACATCTGCTTGAATTCGCCACTACCTTAATCGCAAGTCCAGTACGCACGCTACAGGCCTCTGAGCTAGCTTCGTGGTCCTGAAGCCGGGAATTGCTCCAACCGATACTAATGACTCTTGCGTTCTGGGCAAGCATCCATCGCCAGCGTTTTGATCGAAGAAGCCTTGGAGATTTTCACGGCCCCATGAAGACATCGACTTGGGACTGAGAGGGTGAGGACAGAGAGCCTGTGTTCTTGAACAGCTCAACCAGCATTGCAAGGCCGATGTCCCTGACCGGTCGTCGCTTGCTTCTAAGATGCTAAGCACGTGCTCGCGTGCCATCGACTTTCCTGTGCATCCGTCTCCCAGCAGCAAGAGGACCTGATGTTCCTGCAAAACGAGCCAAACAGCAAAGCCGACGAGTAAGGCAACACAGCCTTGCAGAACTATCACAGCTCCTTTTTGTCCATACTTCGCTTGTATGCACTGGCGGAGGCGTTGAAGATGTGCGGCGGCAGATTAGGGTCCTTGAAGGCGCATTCTCTGGTTCCAAAACCTCCCTTGACATTCACTTGGCCAGCCGGCCAACGGCTCGGGCACCGACCAAAGCGGAGTACTTCTCGACGTACGTCTCGCCGAAAATCTTCAGGGGTCTGAAGGGATTGATGCACAAGGTCACCATGTTGATGTTGGAGTACCTGCACGCATTTGTTCATGTGCACGTTTGACAAGGCCAGAACCGAACACGACAGCCACCGAATCCAGTCTTGCCAGTTGCGGTCCATGCGACGGATTCGTACTGCAAAACTGGTTACGAAGCGCATCCTGGGCTGTCGGAGTGGTTATTGTTGTTGTTGTTGTTGTTGCTTGTATTGCTGTTGGTGTTGACGTTGTTTTTATTACTGCTATTATTATCACAATTCTTACTACCGTTGTTACTATTATTACGATTAGTATTGCTCTTGCTCTTACTTCTTTTCTTGCTCATAATCTTCCTCTTACTCTTACACCTACTACTCCTACTCCTACTCCAACTCCTCCTCCTACTCTGCCTCTTCCTCTTACTCTTGCTCTTGTTCTTGCTCTTACTCTTGCCATTGCTATTTATTGCTACTGCTCTCGCTATTGCTAGTGCTATGTCTATTATTATTACCAGCTTCTATTTCTATAACTACGATTACTATCGCTATTACTATTACTATTTCTATTTATCTTACCATTCTTACTTTGAACATCACTATTATTAAACCTATATTTCTTTCTATTGTAGCTACTGTTGCTACTTCCAGGAGTATTGCTGTCATTATTGCCATTATGATTACGATTAACTATTAATACTATTGTCGCTATGCTTGTTGTTCTGGTTACTATTAAAACTATGGTTGTTTTCAGTATTGTTACCACTCATAATAAAATATTGATAGTGGTAATAAACAAAAAAGGTAACAGTACTAACAAAAATAATTAACACTATTCTGAGTATTACCATTGTGGCTACCGGGCCTTTAACATGGCCCTGGAAGTGCTCGCCCAAACCCTTCCAAGCCCTCCTTGTATCCCGCCTGCTGTGGAAATAATTTAAATCAAGGCTGCACAACCACTCATGCCACTCTGCATCACTGCATGTGTGCAACGACAGCGGCAAAATATAGATAATAACTATGAAACATTTACACGTGCATACACATATATATATATATATACAGTAAAAATATCAAGACCAGAATCTTCGACCTGACCAGCGCCGAGCCCATCCTTCTCCAGCGAAGCATAGTTTTGTGCCACCTGCCCTGGTCGCGGCAGCACCAATCGCTGCTCTTCCGGTGATACCACGAACTCCTGAAAAGATCGCACCGCTTTGCAGCTGCATCAAACTCGGCAGGAGCCGAATTCCGAATGCTGAAGACGATTCTGCTCCATTCCGGCATGCGCCTTCTTGCCCAGCCGAAGGGTGGCGCCTCCAGCAGGAGTCCTGCACGCTGCGAATTCTGAGCTTCGCCACTTGCAACTGGTGCGTAGCCTGTGCAAAACCAGTTGTATGCCGTCAGTCCTGCTAAGCTTCTGGCAAAGGACCCATTCAGATTCCTCCGCCGGGAACCACACAAATTCCTTTCGATTCTCCATGGCTGCTGCCCAAGGCTCTAAGCCCCGACTCTCTCCCGAGATCTCGACCGAAACTGAAAAAACAAAGGATCCCCATCGCGACGCCCGCCCCTCCCCC